TCGTTGTTACCGAGTGTTACTAACACTTGTTAAGGGATTCCTGGTTTGCAGATGAGAAACGCCCACTCGTACTGAAAGTGTGTCACGTATTCGCCGCTATTTGTGGGGGATGAGTGATAGGAATGCGCTACGAAATATCGGTCCGCACATGAAGTATCCGGCCAGCAGGTGAATGATTTTGACCAACGTCGCTGGAAGGCCCGTCAGTCTAAGCAAGTACCGACATATGAATATGACGCACCCATATTTGTGGCCTGGGTCTCCAGACTCATCCAATCCGTCATGTTGTTCTAATAATGATACGCGTCGGAAACAAAAGGGAAGGGTACCGGCCCAGAGAGGGACAGCGGCGTGGAGATGGGGGGAAAGCCTCAACCAACCTGCGAGCGTTTACCGCTTTATACTCATCAATAGACCACTACGACGACGTACAAAGGCATCAAGGGGAGGTCCACACGAGCCGAAGCTACCGATGATTGTCGCGTTCACCGATCTTACGTTTCGTTGGGGTTCGCTTGACCTATTGAAAAGTGTGAGAGGTGGTGACCAGGGGCTGTACCAGGTCTGCTTCGACTGCGCGCTAGAAAACATCCTGTTTTCCGTTCATCAAGGCGTGGCGCATTGGGGCGACAGTGGCCTCAGAACAGTACAAGGAACCCTTCACAAGTACTGAAGTGAATAGAGCCAAAGGTACTGCTTGTAAACGAGGGTCGTGATGCTCAACCCGCTGGTCCATCTCCGCGGCAGCCGGCCAATGCAATTTCCCCGCGAAGTGGGGTCAACCATAAGAGCAAGACATCAAACGGTTGGTTTCTCGCTGCACAGGTTCCCGTCGCTTACATCTGCTGCCGGACTCTGCATACTCTATATTGTAGAATGAGCGTCTATCCGCCCGAGTACAGGGTATTCTGCGTGTAAACTGGCCAAGTTGCGAAGATGCCCGTTGCCGAGCCTGACAGAAGGCGTCACTGCGCGTTCATGATGCGAGCTCGGCAATTCGCGGACCACTGTCATGATCGCCATATAGCGGTTGATACAAGCCATTCCCCGCATATTGGGTCTAGCAAACTGAATGGCATGCGTAAGAGTGTGTTCCTAGCATAGTCCGGCCTAGTCTGTGAGGCGGTCGATGCGTTGGCAACACACGGCGGCACGAAGTGGATCGCAACTCAGATGGTGGCGAGAACCAACAAGCACGTCGAACATGCGACGACGCGTCCGAACGCGTCAAGCGCGTATCATACCTTACCTCGAACCACCACCCTCTAATTCGCCTATAGGACCTGCGGCTGAGCTTGTGGTCTTGTATCTGCTAGGCTGCTACTATGCGCCGTACACTCATTCGTCTTGCGGAGTCAGTAACGAGTCGACCGCTGAATCTACAGGAGCAAAGCGCAACCCTACTCCCTCCCATACCGTGTGTATACTATTTATGTGGACCTGAATACTCGACTCAGGATACTATAGGCTATACCGTGGGATTCTGCGGGCACATCGGCATCTACCTGCTGAGATGCGCGGGATGGGCGACGACTACGTCAAAGCAGGTGCGCCGTTATATATCGCAACGTCTGAACCCGGTCTGAGTATTGTTAGAATTTCGACGGCATGTCAGGGTAGACAACCCTGTTTGGATCATTGGCTTCCTCTCGCAATGGAAGGTATACCTTGATTCGTTACCAGATGCCGAGGGTGGATCGTCGTTCAGGGGCAAGCGGCTTGACCCGACAAAGTTTGAGAAGGTTCGTAATGACATGCCCGAGTGTGAAAGCTAGGCGTCTGAACACATATTTCTAGCTGTCACAGGAGCAACTGGGTCAGCTGTACGAACTCATGCATGCGACTAAGGACATCTGGAAATCCCCAGAGGAGTTACAGAAAGACGCCGACTCGGAGTCCAGCTCATGATGCTCCCACAGCTTGCTTCCCCACCTGGACCTTGCCGTCCATTGAAACTCTCCATTTTGATAGACCAACCTGTAACCTACACCTCACATTGCAATCAACGTAGACCGGCGCAACATTGAAATTCTAGATGCTGCCCCTTCGGGAGTACATGGAGGCGGACTCCTCACGATATGTACCACTCAGCAATTGCCCACGCACTGATATCTTGCCCAAGCCTGCCTTACTTTTCCATCTGCTAGTGATCGACCCGTTTGGCGCCCTTCCGGGCGAAGTACGCCACTGGAAGCTGTGCGACGTTCAATCGCTCAACTTGGATCCTCATTACGAGACCAGTTCAATCGCAGCACTCGTACATACTGTTCATCATCTGGTCGCGTGCGCCTCGAAAGGCCCATATCTATTGAGCCATCGCACGTTGCCCTTCAAAGCTTCTTGAACCTCTATCACGTGTGTATTCTCGGGCGCCACTCGGGCTTATGAGAGACGCTTGTGGCTCACGCGCTCACTTGCTTCATCCCACCACCTGCTAAACCCTCCCATGGCCTCCGTACACGCCCGTCGCGCCCTGGCTAGTATCGCCTATAAAGGTGCACGCGTCTCCCGCCCGGCACCAGCTATCACACTTGCACGTCGGACCATGTCTTCATCCGCGGTATGTACCTCTTATTCTCCTTGCTCGTATCTCTCCTGACTAGAGTCGACACAGACCGTCGCACCCACTGTAGCGCCTTTGAATCAGCTTCCACCGATCTTCGCTCAGTTGCTTGAAGCGAAGGCACGCAAGGGTATGTGTCTGAACTCTGTTCGAGCATACAGACGCCCAATCTATCTGCTCAGGCGCGACCTTCGCTGACATCGGCAAGGCTATCGGCAAGGACGAAGTATGGGTCGCGGCACTCTTTTATGGCCAGGTACGCCAGTCCGTGAGAGCGCTTGTGCACGTTCACTCACGGTTCGTCTCAGGCAAAGGGCTCTGACGAAGAGCTTTCTGGCATCGCGAAGGCGCTCGACATCCCACCTCAAGCCGTGACAAATGAGATCGGAGCCCACTGGGTGCCGCAGCGCGGGCTGGGAACCACTCCGCCGAGTGACCCTGTCGTATACCGTTTGTACGAAGGCATCATGGTGTATGGACAGCCGATCAAGGCGAGTGCTTCACTTCCTCTACCCGGGCGGTTTCGTTGACGGGAGACTATCATCTACAGGCCTTGATTCACGAGAAGGTGCGCCCATACTGCCCGTGCTTGCTCTTTCGTACTGAGTCCTTCTAGTTTGGTGATGGAATCATGTCTATGATAGACTGCAGGGTGCACGTCGAGAAGAAGCCTGACCCGAAGGGCGACCGTGTCATCCTCACTTTCGAGTACGTGATGCCACATCATATCGAGCCGGATCGGCTAACAGTATACACAGCGGAAAGTTCCTCCCTTACATCAAGTGGTGATGAGTACAAAGGTGTTGGGCCCGAGGAATGTATTGTAGCGCGAAATCGCGATCTACTGTATCTGAAACTATGCGCTGTACGACTTTGACGCGTGACGTCACGCGTCTGCGGAGGCGAACAGATGGATAGCTGCTCGCGCGCTCCCTTGTAGGTCCGGCTGAAGATGATCCCACCTCGCAAGTCGCGCACCGGACTGGCAAACAGACAGACCAACCCCTTAACCTGACTGCCCAATCCTTGGCCGGTGCTTGGGATGATCCACCACATCTCGGAGCGCGCCGAAAGATCACCATTCTCGAGAAAATGCCGCGGCTGCGCCGGCCGTCCGATGTCGGGGTGCACGTCTACAGTTCATCGATCGGCCATACCCGCCCCTCCCCAATATTCGTCGATAGACCCAAAAGGGCGCTTCTGAGAGGGCACAGCGTCTTCTAGACGGGGCGAGTTGCTCCGAGTTATGCCAGGGTACATGATACTATGCGTGAGCTCGGCAAGGCCGAATCGAGTCGTCGAGAATGCGAATGCTGGGATCTCATCGTTGGGAGTCGACGGCGGGGTCGCGGAGAAGGTGCTGGTGATGATAAGGTGGACGAGTTCAGCGAAGCCGGAAAGCGTCGACTGGGTGAACATATCGCTGTATGGAACTTCCAACTCAGGCTTCGCATCCGTGGGCTCATCGTTCTGCGAGAGAGGCGTTGAAGTAGGAGGATCAGGATGAGCGGTCGAATCCATGGGCGGACTTGCGGCCCCTGGTCGTGAGAACCGGAGATACGACAACGTGTTCGGGGTGAGATGCTCGGATGGCCCCATCTGGAGATCTTATCAGCGGAGATGTTTGTTTGAGTGCAGAGGAGGCCAAACCATGTTGCTTATTGGAACTTGCCGGGTAAGCGACTTCACGTTTGATTTTGAGCATCCACGAGCATGGCGCTCGAGTTGCTCTGAAGTAAGTCGGGGAGAATCATCAGAAGCGATCGATGCGCAATGCGAGGAGGTGAACACGAATGAAATATGAACGTCGCCTCGGGGCATGGCAGGGAAGAACGGCCATCGCGCAGGTCGATCTGAACGGCCTTGTATATGCACTCATGCAATCAAGCGATACCGAACTATGTCCCGGCCGCCGGTAAGTATAAGGCTTGCCATGGACAATCCCGGGAATTGAGTGGCTCTAAGCTGTGCAAGCGGCGCTACCAGATGGTAAACAGGGAAGAAGCTTGATCTGCGCGGGTCTTATACCTTTCTGGAAGACGGGGCGCTGAATTGTTTTTGCGCCCTTGCCAAATGACCACGCCTGTCCGCCGGCAGTATTCCTGATCTTATCTGTAGAAGACCGGGATATCGATGCGGCAATAATTGATATTCAATGCCGGAGAGAGCGTCGGCCACGGGACATCCATTATAGTCGCCATGCAGAGGCCATCATCACCCTACAATCAGTCAGACGGATCTGGTAATGGTCCGGAAAGTAGCCCCTAGGCAATATCATGATAGGGGAATGAGTAAAACCGCAACACTCGCAGCCCTCGTACACGTTTCGGCAGTGTCCAACTGGAAAAGGATAGAGACTATCCCCTCCCCAGAGACCGAATTACTTACAAGCCGCGTCCAGCCTCGCGAGCGAAAGTCGATACCTGTTCTAAGAAGCCTCCAGTTTCCCTGCAGTCTTGTCCAAATTAATCAAGCTTGCACTTCATCTTGCATTGTTAAAGGCTACATCACTACGTCCACTTGAACTTAGATCCGCGCAAGCCGGTGTTAAGCACCTCCCACAACCTATCCTCGACCGCCCGCACACTCTCGGACGGCGTATTGAGGGAAGTCATGAAGTATGCAACATTCCCGAGTGTGCGATGGTGGACGCCAAACGGCGCGCCGCCAGGCGCAGCGCTCAGCTCTCCCGCATCTGCATTCTTGTCCGGGAACGTGAGAGGTGATAGAAGGGCCGCGGCTGTGTGTGATGCGTATCCGGCCTGAGCGTCTTCGAATGTGATGGCGAGTACGGTGCCCATCGTCATCGTCTCGCGTACGCCAGGTAGTTTGGAGAGTGCGTCCACGAGCGATGGACTCCAGACACTCCAGATGGGCGCTCCCTGGTCGGGAGTAGCAGGCGAGGATACGGCGACGTCCGAGGAAGCAGATTCTGCACCCGTCGACGCAGCAGCTGGCACACCCCACGCCGCACGCGCTTCATCCCACGCCCCACTCTTCTCCATCTTATCGAGTATTCCCAGCGTCTCGAGCGCAACTTCGCATCCAACTGCATGCGCGCTGTACGAGTGTCCATGCAAAAGAGCATCTTCCTTCTTATCGCCCCAGAATGCTTCGAACACCTCTTTGCTCGCCAGGGTCGCAGCAAGCGGTACAAGTCCGCCTGTGAGAATCTTCGCATGCACTGAGATATCGGGCGCGACCTGAAGAAGCGACGAAGGACTTGAGTGACCGAGACGATATAGGCCAGTGAAGACTTCATCGAAAACGACGGGGAGGTTGAGGAGCTTGCGTGCGGTGACAACGAGCACGTGTTGGAAGAGCGGGTCGACAAAGAGCATACCGCCCGCACCAAGCACGATCGGTTCGAGTACGAGCGCCGCAAGCCTCTCGCCCTTCTCCTTTAAGCCTTCCAGCGCTTGTGTGATGTGCTTTTCGTACGCCTGGGCCAGGTCGGAGTCCAGTCGCTTCTTCACATCGTACGCCTTTGTGAGCGGCCCAGGGTCATTGAACCCGCCGCCGAGAGATGGAGGGAGCGTGATCACGGTGCGGCCACGTTGGATGGCCACTGTGGGCGGCTCCAGCCAGAACCCACGCGCATCGTGCCACTCGCAAGTGTATACACCGGGAGCGCACGCATCCATTGCACCGATAGTGTCGCCGTGGTAGCTGCCCTCAAGACCCAACACACCCAGCCCCTTCTTTCCTTTACCACTCCCTGTTTTCTCCTCCTCGTCTACAGCCGCCTTAACGTCGGGGTTGCGAGTGAGATAAGTGCGAATGGCCATCTTGAGCGCAACCTCCATTCCCGTGCTACCGTCATCGGAGAGGAACGCGCGCGCAGCCCAACCACGTCCTGGCCCTTGCAAGAGGCGCTCAGAAAGCTTGAGAGCGGGCAGGTGTGTTGCGAGCGGGAACATGACATGACCGTAGCGTCCGACAGCGCGCGCTGCGGCCAATGCGAGGGATGGATGGGCATGGCCAAGGGCTTGGGTCCACCAAGAGGCCGAGCCGTCAAACTGGGGGTCTAGCACTGAAGTTGATGATGACGCGGACGAGACCTTCTCCTTAGGCGTTGATCGATGTCCGTTGTATACACTGAAGTAGTCGCCCCATGCGCTATCGATGACATTCACGTCCGTCTCCTTGCCATACAGCCCATGTTGCACGAATGGCCACCACACACTGTCAAGTGTCCTGCGCGGCATACTCTCGAGTTCGTCCAACCTCTTCTCGTGACAGGCATCCAGGTGCTTTACGACGTCGAACATCCCTCCTTTGCGACTTCCCGGCGTCAACGAAGCATAGAACGCGTCCGTGGTCTTGAAATTCTCCGCATCGTCCGCATGTCGCTCCGGTGGTGCAGGTAGAGCGTCGAGCCGCACGCCGCGCTCGGCGAAGTATGGCTGCAAGTACTCGTAGTTTCGGTAGTAGTCGTCCTTGAAGATCAGGACTTGATCCAGGTCGTATCCCCGCATGAGGAGACTCTCGAATGCGGCGATAGTGGCGGAGATGCCGCCAAGGCGCGAGTCGGCGACAAGGACGGTCGGAAGACGTAGAGGCCGATAGGCGTCGAGCTGAGAGCTGCCAGAGAGGACGGGAGAATGAACGCCGCCTGCCGTCTCGACGTACATGTGGGCCGCGTTTGAAGCAGGTCGCAAGGCTTGAGCTGCACGAGAACGTATATGCGATGCTACTGATGAGACAAACGCTGGATCTGAAGGATACGAGGGGGTCTGAGAGCGTAAGCAATATGATACGAGAGCTATGTGTGAGACGAAACAAACCTCAATACCGCGCCGCGCCGCCTGCATGGTTGCAGCCAGATGTGGGCTGACCGGGTCGTCATATCGGAACAGACATGCAGCCTCGACAAGGTTCTTGTGTTGTCCAGCGAAGCGCTTTACGTGCCTTCAGAGGGCTCTTTTCAGGATGAGATGGCAAGAGCGAACAGAAGTAGAGGAGACATTACTCGTCGTCGGCGTCTTGTATGGGTCCCGTAGACACAGGTTTAAGGTAGTAGACGCTGTTCCCGAGAGCAGCCGACGCGCGAACGAGACCAGCGGTGAGAAGAGTTTTGCCGACGTCGGTGTTGGCCCCGAACACCTGGTGGACGCGCAGGTGCCGGTAGAGCGAACTCATCGCCGTCCAAGTTCAACCTGACTCCCAGTTTCTGGGTTTGCCCCAACAGAATTTCTCAGCGCCGAGCAAGTCGGCGGTCGGAAGGCTGCGAGTGGCGCCGGAGCGCACTTCGGCATAGCGGAGTTACGCGCGCTCACGTGCGTGTTTTGATCTGGCTTGACGCGATGAGCGGCAACGGCTCTGGTGCTTTAGCAACGACCACATCATGGTGCGGCGCATCCATCTACGCACACGACAGCAGAGCGCTAACTTGGGACTTTAGAGCGACAACGCAGAGTACAAGGAGGCATTCGCGCTATTTGACAAGAAGGGTACCGGTGCTGTCCCACGCGAGACACTGGGTGACCTCCTTCGGGCGCTTGGCCAGAACCCTACACAGGCGGAGGTCCAGGAGCTCGTTGCGGCCGCACCGCGCGACGTCGATTATAAGACCTTCTTGTCTATCTTGAACCGCCCTGATGGCTTCAAGCCGGCTGGAACACCAGGTTGGCCCTTTGTCAGAGCGATGTAGATGCCAGACTAACCGAGAAATCGCAGAGGAGTTCATCCGCGGATTCCAAGTGTTCGACAAGGAGGGAAACGGATACATTGGCGCTGGAGAGCTGAGATACGTGCTCACACAACTGGGAGAGAAGATGACGGATGAGGAAGTTGATGAGTTGCTTAAAGGTGTTCCTGTCGGCGCGTACGTGTCTCATGCCCAATCCCTTCCTACTACCCCGCTATATCACGACCGATGCTGATTTTAGTCTACAGCGATGGAAACGTCAACTACGAATCCTTCGTTCGCACCATTCTAAGCCAGTGATCTCATACACGATCGCGGATCTCTTGTCGTGCTTCTGCTGCCTGTGACGTCTCGATCCCAAACCTATCATGTATCATATCATTGTTCAGTGCCTGCGTTTACCGGAAATGCATATATCACGCGCAAATCTCCCTCGTGAAGACATGGCTGATGCTGTACGCGCCATTAAGTTCGTAGCGCGCGAAACAAGCTATCCCACAAGCTATTCCGAAGACGAGCACCACCCGTCAAAATTCCACCAGCTTCGCGATCCTGGGATCAGTGCAGATATCAATGGCGCCTTGGCTACCTCCAGCCCTATCTGGCAGTTTCCCTCACCTTGACGGTCGTGAACGCGTGAACCGCGGCTGTCGCCGAGCGTGCAACTTTCGCGCGGACGTCATGGCAGCACAGGGCGTCAGAAACAGGACCGTTGGTTGACTCCGGCCACATCGACGAGCGCCACCGAGCGTCAATTGGGGGTTCTTGGGATGGCCTCAACAATGTACGTGGATCATGTCCTCCTCATATCTCATCACCGCTCACTGTCCTCGTTAGTCCACAGGCGCCTATCCACCGTCTCCATGGCGATAGCTTAGCCGCGGTATTCTACCAAGCAGTGCGCCAGGAACCGTCGCCACTCGACGAGTTTCGGCTCCTCCTTCACGTGACACATGTTTGTCGAGAGTGGCGTGTCGTTGGACTGGACCTGGCCGAGCTCTGGGGAGATGTCGCTTTCGCATTCAGCATGCGGCCCGAATTGTTCCATACCATTCTGGGACGCGCTCGCAGCGTACCTCTGCTAGCGTCAGATGACATGAATCTGAGTGTCATGCAGAGGCAGTATATTCTCGATCACCCAGAGCGCTTCCGCCAGCTACAGTCCTGGGAATGCACCTGGGAATGTGCGCCCCTCGCCGGCAAACATCTTCCCATACTGGAAAGCGCCATATTCCCTATCGCCCGCTCCGGACTCCAACCGGAGCAATCTCCGCTACATGCCCCTATCCTCATGGATCTCTCTCTGGTTGGCGGTTACATCCCTTTCAACGCCCCCAATGTCCGAAGCTTGGAGCTTACAACTAGGACGCCTCTACAGACTGGCGAGCTGATCAAGATGCTACGCGGCCTTCCCAAGCTGTCCTCTCTGACATTACACGAGTCTTTGCCCAATGAACCCCCGGCCTTGCGCAGTGACCAGTTAGGATGTGTTGAACTACCGTCTTTGCATGAAGTCCGACTCGTCATGTCTTGTCGGGCGATCGAGACCTTCTTTCAACTGCTGCGTCCGAGTAAACCGGATGCTTCGATAGACCTCTACATCAGACAAGACATAGATGTTGAAGTGGATATAACACGCTTGGCCGGAGCTCTCCGACCGTACCTTGCTGGATCGACCCGCGATGCACTTCGCATTCGCTATGATAACGTGGAACCATTCATCGCCTACCATCATTCAAGTTCGAGTGATGTCTCGTGCGAGAACATACGAAACAAACTACGTTTAGAGGCAGAGACATGGCTAGAAAAACCTGATCGCCTTTGTATAACGCTGGTTGAAGGTTTTGTCGAATCCCAAATCAGTCATTTGACTATCGACCCTTACGGTTTCAACGATGACGCCGATCCTTTCGATTGGGATTCCCCTGCGTCCAGCATATCGCAGATGCTCCGCATGTCACAAATCGTTACATCGCTGCAAACACTGATCTGGGGTGACCATGCCACTATCCTTGTCAGTTCGCAGCGGCTCGCGGATACATTAAGGACGTTCTTTCAATCGGACTCCTCCACTCCGCTTCCCAAGTTGGAGGAGCTGACGCTCGCAAGCGTCTGGGTCACGTCTTTGGAGGCTGTTCCGGATGGCGATGGCATCGCCTGGGTTCAGTCTTGGCTGGAGAGCCGCGCCAGAGCCGGCGTTCCTCTGCAGAGACTTCGCCTGCACAAGGATTCGTACCACGATATAGATGGGATGCATGGGTGTATAGATGAGGCGTGGAATCTCGTCAGGGCGCTCGTGAGCGTTGAGGTTGTAGAGGACAGTCCGTCACGGTGATCCGAATCGGCATTGAAATGCGATGTTCGAAAGAAAGCACCTATCAGGCTAGTTTCTGGAGTTTAGGTAGTGCACAATCATACAATGTTGAACATGAGTATCTGCCATGATGGTATGTTGAAGACACCGGTCACCGATCATACAAGAACAATCCAAGCGCCTCTGGGCGGCATGTTCCGAAACAATCCCACGTCCATCATTCGCGAGTTCTGAGCTTCTTCCCGACGTTCATCATCGTACCAAGTTTACATGGGAAGGAAATCAGAACTACCACGTTAGATGTGCGTCCAGATGAATGCAAGCTATATGCACGCGGATTGATGACCGTGAATCTCAGGTCGACTACCAGCATCCATCGCCTTGACACAGACAGCCTCAAGGATATCTTCTATCAGGTGGTCCGAGAGGATCTAAGGCCCGCGATACAGCTGAGAAGGCTACTCTGTCTCACACATATCTGCCGTCGATGGCGTATTCTCGCGCTGGACCTAGCGGAGCTCTGGGGAGATGTCGCGTTTGTATCTCACAATCCACTCGCTCTCCCCATCATTTTGGAACGCGCATGCGACGCACCGCTGAGCATGACGCTTGGGGCAACACCTTTACCGGAGTATCTCGAATACGTCAACAAGCATCCAGAACGGCTACGACTCATAGAAACGCGCCGTGTTCAATGGGATCCCGCGGTATTGGCGGGAAGGACCCTTCCCCTTCTGGAGAGGGCTTTACTTGTTCCCAAGCTTCACCACACGGGACACCACCCCGATGTCTCGCCACTTGTCATTCCTCGACTTGAGGAGTTGACTCTGACCCGCTTCTACATTCCGTTTGTGGCGCCAAACCTGCGCAGCCTCTTCATATACAGCCTCGTGCCATTCCAGCTTGAAGTCTTCGTGACGATGCTCAACGCATTACCCACCTTAACTTCCCTCAGACTTGACAACTGCCTACCCAATATCCTTGTGGATGGTCAGGACGTGGGACGCATTGCGCTACCACGGATATCAAACATCGATCTCCGGCAAAGCACATGCACGGGCCTCATAACTTTTCTCGAACTGCTTCGACCGAATGGGCTGGATATCTCCATCACTCTTTCGATTGGATACGCATCCAAGTCTCAGGCAGAATACGCCCATCTTGCCGCAGCACTCCATCCTTTCATGCATGGAACATCCCGAGACACGGTTGACCTGAACTTCGAACCACCAGACTATACGCCGCAACCATCGTTTGCCGTCTACCAGTCTACCAGCAATCGCAATTCAGGGCGAACGGGGGAGATTAGTGTCAGGGTGGAAGATTGCGCCGAAGACGTAACACCTCTTTTCGCCTCTCTCCTCGAGCAGTTCGCGATCTCTCAAATACGACACCTGGTCTTGCTGTACGGCGAAAACCTGGATGAGGGCATGCCTACTCATGACTTCCGCCGACTTTTGCGAGCGCCATTAATGTTTGCCGAGTCACTAAAGACCGTGCGATATGACATACGGCATCCCCTCTTCGATCAGCAACACACAAGATCCCGGATATGCACGCTCCTGTTCGACGGACGTACGACCTACCCGCACCTGAAAGAATTGATCTTGTCCGGAAGCGCATGTTTGTGCGTTTTGACCGATCAAGAAGGGGCATCGAAACTACTTTCGTGGCTCAAGGATCGGAGAGCGGCAGGCTCGCCCTTGAAGACGCTTCGCCTGCGGGGTCTTTTCAGCTTATACTACAACTCACAGATTGAGGCGCTAGCTGAAGACGTCGTATGGAGGTCAATCCGGGCCAACGTGGCAGTTGTCGACGAGTGGGAAGTACTAGGCGTAAACAGGCTCTCTTCAAGTTGAGCCAGTAGGGTAGAAATGAACTATACGATAGCATCATTCTCTCTCGCTCGTGCATTAATCATAGCGAAATGACTCTCCATTCATATACTAGCGTATAACGGCCTGGGATGAACTACGGGATAGTACGGAATGTTCCGTATTGTCGTTCTCACGGCGGACCTGCCAAGGACCACGGCTTGTGTGACCTCTCTCTTCTCGAACGATCATCGTCGCGCATACGATCACATCAGTGTCTATGAGAGCTGAAATGGAATCTCCAAACCTGTACGCCGATTGCCACATAGTCTACGTCTGTAGAATACTGATGTTGTCGTCGTGTACTTACATAGATGCTCACCCGTCCACCACCTCGACGGGGACAGCTTGGCCGAGATATTCTTCTGGGTGGTACGCGACGAAGGCTCAAAGCTTCTCGTCAAGTACAAGAACCTGATGAGAATAACTCATGTTTGTCGCGCATGGCGAGCTATCGCATTGAACCTGGCTGAGCTCTGGGGTGACGTCGCGTTTGCGTCCGGCAACCCGCACGTCTTCGAGACGCTTCTTCAACGTGCAGGAACGGCGCCGATCGACCTACCTTTCACCATACCCGCCTCAGAAGCTCAGTTAGAATATATTGCTAGACATTCTGAACGGTTTCGATCAATGCACATATCACGAAGCGTACGATGGGATCCCACATCGCTGGCAGGCAAACATATGCCTTATCTCGAGAGCGCTCGACTCTACGCCGGTCCACGATACGAGGGAGTCCGCTCTGAGCTCGATCCAGTGGTCATGCCTCGCCTCCGGGACCTTTACATGAGTCTCTTCTGCGTCCCCTTCGCTGCGCCAAACCTTAGAAAGCTTCGGATAACTGCGGCCACGCCATTCGCACCGAGGACACTCGTGCAGATGCTCAATGCACTGCCAAATCTCGAACATCTCAGACTGCGCTTCTGCCTTCCCACCTCATATGTGCAAGACGGCGAAGGCGTTGCGCTTATCAATCTCCCAAACATCACTTGCATTGATCTCAAAGATCTATGCACGCCCATGTCGGCCTTCCTCGAACAGCTGCGCATAAAGGACCCCGCATGCGCCGTCTTGCTTACACTCAGTCGCAACTTTGAGAGGCCGCCATCCGAGGTACAACGCCTAGCCCGGGCGTTGCAGCCATATCTGAGCGCATCCTTCCGCGATTCGATCTTGATGAGCTCGCTTCGCGAGTCAAGTATCTCTGTGTACTCCTCCAACAGCCATGGCTTTGGGGAGTATATGGTACGGGATGGCGCAGTCGTCATCAACTCGGAGACGGCCGAGAACCCTGCATCGCTCCATACTGTTCTCTTTGAGCAGTTCCATACCTCTCAGATCCGACACCTGTGTGCATATCATGCAGACTTCGCTGCGGGGGCTACTCCGGACGATTGGGCGGATCTTTACCGCCATCCTCTGCTGTCGGATCATCTACAGACGTTGAAAACCTACGTAGGTCTGACCCATCCCGATGCCTCCTTGGATCGAGCTACCATGCTCCCTCTTCTTCTTGGCGAGCCGATACGAAGACCTGAACTGCGAGAGATGACATTATCTGGAGATGCATGCTCATACGTCCTTACCGTCGCAGACGGTGCATCCAATCTATCAAGATGGCTCAAGGAGCGTATAGTATCTGGGCACCCCTTGGAGAGGCTCCGCTTGGAGGGCGAAATAGCCTATGAAGACCGTTCTGCGATGGAATCGTTGGCGGAGCAGGAAGTTTGGGAGCGGATCAGAGATGCAGTAGATGTTATCGACGAGTGGACAGTCAGGACCAAAGGTCTATCTATGGACGATTATGAGCAGTTATGAATGTACTCGTAGCACCCATGCTTGTTGTACGTGATGTAGCGCTCTCAGGGTGGACTGCTTATTTCGCATATATTCATAAGCGGGGCATTTTCCGGAGATTTGCTCTCACGCTGGCCATGCCACCACCTTCAATCATCTGATCTTGTTCTCTCGAACCACGACTTGCGCCACAACTCGCCGTCATTTACAGTTCAAATGATGGACGGAGGACATCAAGTACTTGAGTCGTACGTGACTCCGAAAGAGACTAAGATCGCCTTCACTGACGCGTATTCGATTCATCGCGTCAAAGGCCATCGTCCGTCCATCGGCTGAACACTGATTGCTTGACCGAGATATTCTACTCTATCGTTCGTGCTTCCGAGGGCGATTTTGACGCCTTGGACGCATACACGAACCTCTTGAGCCTGACGCACGTCTGTCGTGTTTGGCGTGCACTGGCACTGGACCTGCCCGAGCTTTGGGGCGACATCGCATTCGTGTCCAATAAACCGGACGTGTTCAGGACTCTTCTCGATCGCGCGCGCGATGCCCCTCTCTACCTACCACCGATATTCCCATCCGAAGAGCAGGCCAATATTCTCTTCGGAAGTCCGGAGCGCTTCAGAGTCTTAGAGCGTGCATACCACTTACAATGGGATCCGGCGGTGCTGGCCGGGAAATACCTGCCGTGTCTGGAGTCGGCTCGACTCATGGTTTGGTCTCAACATGAGCGCTATCATCCTGAGCTCGCACCCATGATCCTGCCCCGTATTCAAAAGCTCGTACTCAGGAGCTTTTGTATCCCATTCGAGGCACCAAACCTGCGCAGTCTCCGCATCACTCTACGTGGTCAACCGATCAACCCTGAGGATCTTGTCTCCATGCTCAACAGCCTGCCCAGGCTGAACACTCTTCGACTGGGTGGCTGCCTACCTCCCTCATTCGTACATAACGGACGCCGCATAGGCCCAATCTACCTCCCCAGCCTCACTATGTTTAGATTGAGAGACGGTTGTGCAGCCCTTACCGCCTTCTTAGAACAGTTACACCCTGGAAACCCCGACTGTGGTGCTCATCTCACTGCTCGAAGATGGGCGGACACATCTCATGCCGAATTGGGCGGGTTATTCCAGGCGATGCGACGGTACCTGAAGACACCATCACGCGACGAGATGTACATGCACCTCGACCCTAACAAAGAGCCTTATATCGCTGCCATGCGTCGAGTAGACTCTACGAACACCGCCGCTCTGACGGTGACAGACGAGGGTGTGGGTGTCGACGCGATCAATCCGGCACTGGAGCGTGCTGCTAGCTTCTCCTTGGACGACAGGCACGTAGACTTGATATCCATTTACGCTTCCTTCCTCGATCAGCTCTCCCCCTCGCAAGTCCGCTACCTGAGAACGCATCGCAGCTGGCAGGCCGTGGAAACGGGGTTTCCCTCGTCCCAGATAGCGGAGCTTTTCGGCAAGCCACAGTTCACGAACTCTCTTCAGGTTGTAGAGCACGGCATTGCTTTCTCGGATCGAGATGGACAGTTCAGTGAAGCTCGTATGTCGTCACTGTTCCCCAGCGTGCCCACGCTTTGGCCTCAACTACGGAAGATGACGCTGAGCGGGGACGCATGCTTATACGTCTTGCATACCTCACAAGGCGCGGATGCGTTGTTGTCTTGGCTCAAAGCGCGCGAAGGAGCCGGGTTGCACTTGCCAGTCCTCCACTTGAGGGCACAGGCGTATACCGGGGGACAGTTTGGGACAGAGTCTGCGGCTCAGTTGAGCGCTTGGTCAGAGATCAGGGCTCTCGTAAGCGTCGTCGACGAGAGGAAGGGCGGGGAGGAGAAGCAGGAGGAGTGCGCAGCTTAGCATGCGAGCCAATTGTTATTTTCATGTCTTGCGAACGTCGTTTCATGTAGCGAAGCAGCCCTCACCTCCTTGACCATCAGGCTTTGGGCATTGAGTGACTGAGGCGATGATACGGTGTCACGCAAAAACATGCTCTGTGCTCTTATCATTTGAGCCGCGCGCGTATGATCCAAACAAGAAAAGGAACGAGAATGTGCATTGCGTGTGGCAGCCCCATGCAGGTCGGCAGGATATACTTTTGATACATACACGAATCCACCCAGCTTGCCCCCGCAGGCGTACGCCAAATATAAGATAGTATCTCCAGTCGCAACTCCGCGTCGGCTCCCTACTTCGCAAATGCACGAATGATCTTTGCGGAGATATGCAGGAAGAAGATGGAGGCGATGAAAGATAGGGAGAGAACGAGCACAATGAAGGGGTCGCTAGAAGTAGATGTTCAGTACGATTTGCGAATTGATCAAGTGTGCAAACACTCACACGCGCAACCCGGGCGAGTCGTCCGTGTAGAGCTTGAGCATGGTGTTGCTCGAGCCACCTGCGCCTGCCGCGCGCGTAGAGTTGGGTTTCGCAGCCGTGTTACCAGCGCGGCGACTGCAAATATCGAGTAATACAGTCAGCACTAGACCATATATGCCAGAATATTCTAAGGACGCACCGGACCTGCGTGCCAGCCGGCCTTGATACGGCGCTGGACGAGTTGGAGCGAACAGCGACGGGGGCGGCGTCAGAGTCAGACTATGGATTCACATAGCAGTCGCATTAGCCTTCCAGATATTTGAAGGAAAGGAATTAACGACTGACCATGGTGGGATGGAGAGAGGAGACCTTGAGTTGAAGGTGCGTTGGCGCGGGCGTAACACGTCTGTGCTTATGTAAGGCACCGCATGCAGCTTAATGGGCGCCTATCACGAGCGCTTATTGCACCCGCATCTTGCCTCTGGACCGCCACCATGTCCACCACCGTCCTCGTCTCCACCTTCGCGCCTTTCTCGACACTCGCGTTCTCTGCATCATTGGACGCCACGCTCGATGATATCTACGATGATATACTCGAGCGCTATCCCCAACTCCCTGCTCATGACTTACGTCTGATTACACTCACCGGTGCACCTTCCCGGGCTGGGACAAGTCTCCGTTCGCTACTGGGAGACGATAATGACGAAGAGGATACTGGAAGACTGGTGTCGCTGAGGCTGGCGCCGGCGATGCGGGGTGGAAAGGGTGGTTTCGGTTCTCAGCTGCGTGCGGCTGGTGGACGGATGAGCAGCCAGAAGACGAACAACAACGACTCTTGCCGTGATCTTAGTGGTCGTAGGCTCAGTACGATCAAGGAGGCGAAAAGGTATATTTCTCGAATCATACCACATTAGCGCCCGTGCTTATGTAAATCTATAGGCTGGCTGAGTACATTGAAGCTGAACCAGAGCGCAAGAAGGCGGCTGCCGAGGCCAAAGCTGCGAAGCTGGAAAAGCTTGAGCGCAAGCTCGGCATGGCCGAGTCAAGCGCAACTGCCGAAACCGGCAAGAAGCGCCGACTCGAAGATACGGAATATATCGAACAAAGCCAGGAGATCGTGGATAGCGTGAAGAGCGCCGTTAAGGCTGGTATGTTCATGTTCCTTGCTCTTGTCGCGCACGGTAACGCTGACGCATGGATATAGGTCTTCTCAAGAAGAAGAAGAAAGCTAAGACAAGCCATGACTCATCGCCACCCGCCACCTCGAAGTCGGCTGCAGACAAGCCCGCTGCACCTGCACAGGAGGCGACAGCGGCTTCTGAGGCCGCCGAGAAGAGTGACTTCGCTCCGCCGCCTGCGCCTCCTGCTGCTACTGCTGCTGCAGTTGGCGCATGACATCGCGAAGGCATACTGGATTCTATGGCTTCCCGGTCCTGGACCTCTTTGTATCCTGCATCATGGTGTTGTTTTATATCTATATGGAAATTCTGTACCATCCACTGCGAGTGAGAAAGATGAAGTTACACGTTGTCATCCCTACAGGCCAATGCGAAGAAAGTCCGTACGTTCGTACATGCATATGTGGAAAGAAGCGTCTCGATAATAATCGTGATCATGAACAGATGAGATATGCGTGATGGTTACAGTGGCTCTAGTCAAAGCTGTATTCCGGAGGCGGCTCAACTGGCCCCTCTTCTCTCTCCCTCTCCCTCCTTGCCTCAGCTTTGAGGTTCACTTGATGCTCCGTCAACTCGGATTGCAGAGATGAACGACGCGAAGCGCCTCCACCTCCCGAAGCCGAGCCCGAGCCCGAAGCAATCGCCACCGCGGCACTCGACGCGCTCGGTGCAGCGCTCAGACCGTTCTGGCCGGCCTGCACGGCGACACCCGATTTCAAGTCTCTCTGATACACCTCCATCTCGTTGTGGAGTGCAGACGTGCGTCCCGAGCTAGAACCCGAAGCGTCTGTGGTCGACGGCACGACGCTATGCCCGATGCTCGAATGCCCCACGCTCCCGCCCGACCGCAAGTCGCCCTTCAGATCTCTCTGATACGCAGTCATCTCCGAATGCAGCGCAGACCGGCGCGTGGTCGTGCTTCCGCCCACAGAACCCAATCCCGGAGCAAGCAGAGCAGCGGACGTCGAAGCGCTCGGAGCAGTAGTGCGCGCAGAAATCCCACTTGGCGTGGGAGGCAACTCGCGCTCGAAGACAGGAATCGACATGAATTCTCTATCCGTGTCACTGGTGGGCGAAGCAGCATCGGCATCCGCGGCTTCTCGGTCCTGCCTTCTTGCGGCCGTGCCGCCCAAGAGAGGCGCCCAAGAATGGGCGTGGCTCGTTTCCCTCGTGTGGCTGGGCAGCGCGGAAAGGAACTTGGTCTTGGGACTAGGTTGGCCCGAAGCGAGCATGATGGCCTGTCGACGTGCTGCGCGACGTTTACGCCAGTACATGTACGCCAGGGCCGCCAGAGCTGCAGCGAGTGCGACTGGGATCCGACAGAGTGAGAGGACGCGTGGGTGCGGGGATAGAAGAATACTCACGGAAACCGATCACGATTCCTGCTACGGCCCCTTTGCTAAGTCCGCTTCCGCCGCTCTCTACTGTCTCGATACACTGGATGAAGTCGAGGTTTCGACGTGCGTTGTCGCCGCTGTCGGGAGAGCTCTTGTCGTCATCATCATCGTCGCTATTGTTCCCACTGCTGCTGTGATGCGTGCTCGACCTATGCGAAAGTCAGTCCGAGATCCTATGTGGCATGAGAGACCGATACTCACGCCGATGCGGCAGATGAAGATCCAGTCGCGACCGAGCTCCCACTCCCGCTAAATGAAGCTGTAGCCGTGGCAGAGGACGCCACAGAAGAGCAACGTTGCGTCGTCGTAGCTGTAGACGCAACTTGAAGCTGGAAAGACAGCCCAGACAACCACAAGAGCAGGGGTATAAGCTTTAGACGCATGTTTGCCGCCGGCTCGAAGAGGGTGGTAGAACGGGGGGAAGAAGACCATACCTGCACACGAGCGGCGTTCAAATAGGAATCCCTTCGTAGTAGACACATGGGAAACATAAGAACCCGTTACCCGTTCGGCATGTCGGTCGGTGGTGCGTGGCTGGGCAGTACTTCTCGATCAGTCGCTCCCGTCCCGCCTGGTCGTGTCCCTGGGGAGTGCGCTCGTGAACTATGTATCCGATCGATTCAAGCCTGACAGAGTTTGTCAGTTCTGCTCTGCGCGTACTCTCAAAACAGCTCGAACGAGGCTGGTATACATGCTCGGATATGCCATCCATAGAAGTTAGAGCTGCTGAGAAGTTTGATGCCGAGTACATACCGAGGCTTCCAAGCCATGATAGACGCCCGACTGACACTGGAAAGCGGATGGGTAGGAGAGGCATCCGATGATTATACTGGTACAATCCGCGTATCGTAGGCTATGACATGGTTCCGTTCTCGTTTGTTATCGTTATAAAATGGCGTGAAAGCGCTTGCGCGCAAGACATCGTCGGGCACAGCATGAAGGTGGGCTGGCCCGCTCGCACCTCCCTCGTTCCTTGCACGTCACGGCGAAACTCTGACATCTGCATACCCATTCAGCACAGCACAACTCGCTTTCTGATATGGCAGCTCACCAGACTTCTTCCTCGACCCGCGGTGGTATCGTGGAGCGCATTGCGGACCGTCGGGTCGCAATCGGCCCCTCGGACACCAGGATATTCGTGTCAAGGCTCGCCGAAGTGACCGCGGTGAGTTCCGTATCTTCGGTGAATGGATCAGAACCCGGATTTACGTCCGAACGCAGGTTCAGCATCAGGCGAGAGATGAGTACGACGGAGAGGACGTTTGTGAGAGATCCGAAGGTCGTCCTCAGGAGTGGCTAGGGCCAACGGTCAATCACATGCTGCCATGCATATAGCTAGATGGACTACTTACCGTTGCAACCTGGAGACGATATGCTGTTGCTTAGTCTGCGTCGACGGTAGAGGAAGCTGGATTCACGTACGCGTAAGGTCACAATGTTGACGAGATTACTCGCCGATAGCGCGCTAGGTAATCATTAAGCTCAACTGCATAAGCGTCATGGAGGTATGTGCGTACCAGAAGTACAGGACTCCGTCCCTGAGTACGACATGCACAATGCGCCCAGCTTGCCACACTCTGCCAGCGCGTACCGCAGTCATGAAAAGGATTGACAGGTCGAATATCAGTACAGCGGACCACGCGATGGCCAGTCCTGCGAATAGTAGCTCAGGAATCTTAACATGTCTCTCCGTACAGTCGACTCACTGGCACCTCTCTCTGGAGGAGTTGAAAGCCCGCAAGAGGGTGCAATAGACCAGAAGTAGGAGGGCGAATGGATGTTTTTGGAGGCGAAGAAGTACTACAACACCTCAGCACGCCAAGCGAAGGAATCGACGATGAAAGAGAGCACTTACGGAGGCCACAGCCAACAGGACGACAGCCAATAGAATGAGCCCTATCAAGACTCTGCGATCCTTTGCGTAAAGAGCATACACACGCAGGATACAAAGAGCTGTGGGCACGTTCAGGCATGTTGTGTTTTGACTGAAGGGCCACGTACCTGCGACAAGGACTTGTAGACATAGCTCCAGGAATGTCTCATAATACTGAAGTGCCCCGCACCTAGCATCGGCAGATGTCATTGTTTGGAAGGATCTGGTTTTGGATGACGCACTCACCCCTGTTGCCAACTGATCAGCTAATCTTTGACGGAAGAACGCAAGGCTCACGTACTACAGACTCTGTTCCCCAGACCAGAGCAACAAGCGCTGGTATGTAGCCGATCACGGCGAGGTATCTCACTCCCAGGAAAAGACAGGAAAGCCAGGTGAGAGGGCGGCGGCGATTAGGCCAGTAATGCTGTATCTCGTCTCCGACAGTCAAGAGGTAATCGTAGTAGAGCACGACGAGCGGGACGGTGTGTAGAATGTAGTTCACAAATCTAAACCGTGGTCAGTCATGTCCCTGAGAGAGATCGGAAAGTAAACGCACAGATTGCGTTTTATCGATTCCCAGTCTGTCTCTTCTGCGACCATGCTTCTCGAGGTGGGCAGGCGTCTCTTACGCAAGGGACGGTCAACGCGCCAGCAATGGTCATGCCACAACGACGGAGTAGGGGCGACGTTATGTACTAGGCATGCAGCTGTACAGCCAAGCGACGAAACTCTGCACGGTGGATGGCACGGGAAGTGGACGCAACAAACGGTGATCAAATCTCGGTCTAATACCCTTATATGAGGGACTGAGTACCATGAACCGCTGTGGCACTGCTCCGGACGACGCGCGGGATGTTAGTTGATGAAGGATCCTGTCATATAGCCCAAATAGGCTCTCGGCGTCTTGCCTGCGTGATGGTATGGGGCGTACCGATGGAATGCGAGGGATAAAGTTAGCACCTATCTGTTGGCACAGTGACCCACATCTCCGTGCCCGACTTCGATACCCATGCTGATTATCGACTGTGCCTCAATAAAGGCGGCCAGCAATACATGTATGGCATGAAACGGATTCTATAGCCGCCAAGATGTAACACGGGGAAGAGAAGCGCGCGGCACTTCCCGGGCCGGTCAGACGTTCGGGGGCCTTGGCTCTGTTGGTGACACCAGTGCTGCAGTACGCCCAGGACAAGATGTGCTGAGACCTGTTGATGCGGCATACTCTGTCTGCTCCAGCCCGAGATGTACGGTTTACTTATGCTTTCGGGAATCGGTCATTGATGTGGTCGTCCTTGTTCAGGTACTTATCGCGCGTGTCCTCGGAGTCTCGGACTGACGGAGATGATCACATCAACGTACTTTCCCACTTGCCTGATTACATCACGCGCGGGCCTCGTGTTTCGCGTTCCTTGAACTCATGTTACGCTCGTCATTCTACGACGGTGAATACTAGTACATACTGCCTATCATTATGAGTGGCTCTCTCAGAGTCATGCGTTGCGCGTTTGCCTCGGTTGTTCGTGACGGTACTACGTAGCTCGGGGAACCGTTGGGTCTGATCGCCCCTCGGACACCAGGATGTTGGTATCGAGGCTCGCAGAGGCGACGGTGAGTTCCGTATCTTCGGGGAAGACATCAGAACTGGAGACTGTGTCTGAGCGAAGATTGAGCATCAGGCGCGAGATCAGGACAACGGAGAGGATGTTCGTGAGAGAGGCGAATACTGTCTTGAGGAGCGGCTATGGGCGTCTTCATCTTGGCTGTCACTTAAGCTATTAGTGAGCACACGCACAGTCACAACCTGGCCGACGATGTCATTGGTTTGCCTAATAAGATGTAATGCAATGTGTCACGCACAACGAGCACCACGATGTTGACGATATTCGAAGCAGATAATGCGCTGAGTGGCATCAGCGTGGCATCAGCGTGGGAACTCCCGAAGCGTCAATCCAGAAAATGCGTACCAAAAGTACAGCACACCGTCTCTGAGAACTACCTGCACGATGCGGCCTGACTTCCATACTTTGAACGCGCGAAGAGCAGTGAGAATGAATACGATGAGGTCGAAGAGCAGCACGGCCCCCCAAACGATGGCAAACCCTGCAAGGAATCAGATATCATGAACGTATGAGCGTGAGTTGCGCACGTATGCCATCAACTCTTGAGCGTGCATTCCCGCATAGAGGGGCTCTCGACCAGTAGAAGACGGGTATGTTAGTATCGAATGTTGTCACCATGTACTGCCAAACCATTAATGACCGCGAGGTAGACAGCATAGAGGTCGGGGCTTACTAGGATGACGCCCGTAAGGATGGCCCCCAAGACAAGGAGCCCGACGAGTATTCTCCGGTCTTTCGAGTACAAAGCATACACACGCAGTGCACATAACACTAGACCAATATTAGCATACGCGTTGTCAGCAAGGCAACGAGATCGTACTTACGTCCGATAGGTATCTGAAGAACCAGTTCCAAGAAAGCATGATAGTATTGGACGGGACCACATCTGCAAGCATCGTCAGAGGCGGTTACGGGTCCCGGATGATCATACATCAGTCACGCTTACCCCTGTCGATGTCACGAATGAGCGAAGCGGAATGAACAAGTACCGAGGGTACTAACCGCTGTCTCTGTCCCAACAACCATCGTAACAAGAATGGGAACGAACGCGAGAAGGGTAAAGTATCGTGTTCCGAGGAAAAGTCCAGACAGCCACGTCAAAGCACGACGCGGTGGCCAATAGTTCTCGACCTCGTCGCCAAGCGTCAGAAAATAGTCGTAGTAGAGAAGGACAAGTGGAGCTGCTTGTAGAGCATAGTTGAATAACCTGTTAGTGCCATGGATGAGCCCGCATTGTCACCCAGAAGGCACAGCTGCGACAGCACTCATTTGCCCGTAGAGCTGGGCGCGCTTACAGTTCATGGGTGATTCGAGTCCACTCACTCGACATGTCTGCATCGTCTGCCATTGTCGAATAGTGGATGACTCCAGATGGAACCATTGAGTGGCCGGGTTCGCACCGTCGTAGGCATAACCATGCCGTGAAACGACCGGAAACTCTTATATGCCCATCGCATCGAGCGCCATACAGTCTGCTGCAGCATCGTCGAATCACCTCGATGAAATGGAGCGCTGAGAGAAGGTTGAGATGCGCGTGTATGAGCGCATCTTAGGAGTTTCGCATTCGCCGGTGCCGGTATCAGCCCGCCGGGTAGGCCACCTGAAGCCGTTGACCGAACCACAACTACGGTCTGTGTTCTCGTAGCTTGTAGCACAGGGCCTTCTCTGTGTTGCTGGGGAGCATAGAAGGCGAACCCGTGCCTCGCGCTCATTCGGCGGTCAAAATGGAATCCAGGGACAAATGCCATCTTGCGGCGCTCATCTGTCAAAACGCAGTCGCTTATTTCACGCTGCAACGATGAGAGCGAGTTCTAGCCTGCACTAGGGTTCGTTACATCAACATTCCCCACGAAGAGCGATACATAATAGATACACTTGCCTGCCTTTACCCATCCGCTAGCGGCCACGATCCACTTTGACGATCCGCCTTATGTGGTCATCTCAATGACAGATCCCCAGGCCCGCCTCCGGCGGCATCGTGGCAACGCCCCGTAGAGTGTACTCATAAGCATCGTGTCGTATATTTCCTGAGCATAGAAGCATAGTTCAGAATCATGGCGAGATGTACAGGATCGCACGCTGGAAAATGAACATCATCGTCCGAGGCCAAACTCCGTGGAGATTGGCGGGAGACACGGCGCGGCGCGGCAACCCTAACCCGAGGCGCACGCTCTCTTCTTCCCCGCAGCTGCGGCGGCTCGCACTTCGAGATACTACACATCAAGAGGGAGATAGTATAGCGTGCTCATCATAGAGCACAATATATTAGATCTCATGCATCAGCGTGTGCAGATGGTGCTGCCGCGACAGCGGACTGGTGAGTCCCAACGTTCGCCTCGGATACAGCGATGTCCGAGTCGAGGTCTGCTGCCGGTGTGACGGACAGCTCGGTATCATCCACTCCAACCAAGGGAGTAGATCGCGTATCCGAGCGAAGGTTCAACATCAGTCTCGAGATGAGCGTGACAGACAGTACATTTGTGAGAGATGCGAAGGCCGTCCTGAGCAACGGCTGCAGCGGTATTGTCAACATCCCTCAGTCCCTAATGGCAACTAAACGAGGACGCTCACCGTCGACACCTACGTTTCATGTTAGACCCCTTGACCAATAGTAGCAAACGCTACAGAACTAGACACGTACTACGAGGATCACGATGTTGACGAGGTTGCAGACCGATAGTGCGCTGCGAGATGTTGTTAGAATGGGGTGGATTGATGACCCGGGGGAAGAGGGGAAGAGGTGCGCACCAGAAATACATGACGCCATCCCTGAGAACCACGTGTACAATCCTGCCCGCTTTCCACACCTTGAAGGCGCGTACTGCTGTGAGCAGGAATATTACCATATCGAACACCAGCAAAGTGGACCAGCCGATGGCCAAACCTGCGGTCAGGTTGAGGTTTCGAACGCATTTCAATCTCCAAGATCAACTTACGAACACCGTCATGTAGGTTAGTCGAGGTCCCGCATAGGGGCGCGACAGGCCAGTAATATAGGGTCGGGTGGGCGTCCACGGTCGAGAATAATGCCTTGGCCGTTCTAGTAGCTGGTTCGAATCACGGTCGAGAGCTATAGCGACTTACCAAGCCCACTGCCAACAGACCGGTAAACAAAAGTACCAGTCCTACCAGTACTCTGCGATCTTGTGCGTAAAGGGCGTACACTCGCAGAATACAAAGGACTGCCGGAAGTGTCATTGAATGTTTTGTTTCTTCATACACGGTCACACACCTGCGACAGGTATTTGCAGAAATATTTCCAAGGATGGATGATAGTAAACTATGAACCCGCACCTAAGGAATGCGTTGGTCAATCGGCTCTGACGCTCGTCTTCGATGAGTATGTGTTACCCCTGGTCATTTTCGTGAGGCAGTTTATCCTGGTTAGAGAATAAGCTCACGTACTACAGACTCCCTCCCCCACAGCACGGCGGCTAGCACTGGTGCGAAGCCAAGCAAGGTGAGATATCTCGTGCCAAGAAAGAGACCAGACAGCCAGCTCAGAGGACGATGGGTCGGCCAGTAATTCTCGATCTCGTCGCGAATCGTCAAAAGATAGTCATAGTAGAGCACAGTGATGGGGACAACTTGTAACACGTAGATCATGAACCTGGGAGACTGGCTCAGTCAAGGTCTATGAAAGATGGAATGGACGCACAGGTCATGCGCAATGGATGCACCGTCCGTATCCTCCATGTCCATGTTCTCCGTCTGGCTTGGGGCAAGTGTCTGTGAGCTGTGTGGGCGCGAGATACGTGAGTAGCAGCTTCGCGGGAGATGCTTATGTACCGATGCGTAGCGATGTGCAGCCGACCAATCGACCCACGAGAGCCACACCAAGAGTGGCAGGAAAGGGGAACGTAACGTTGATTGAACCTGAACTTCAGTCTTATCTTGTGCACGAGATGTTGCACGCAGTGGTGCAACTCCAGGTTACACGCGGTGTCTTGACTATTTGAGGCAACTACCTGGCCCAAAACGTCCTGGGCGCCTATTCTGGATGGTGACATGTAGACATAGATGGAATGCGATGGAGGAAAGGCAGCGCCTATCTGTCAGAAAGACCCGCACGTCCATAGCCTGCCTTCGACAAGCACGTTTATGGACTGCGCCTCCACGAAGGTCCGTCAAAGTTACATGTCCGACGTGAAGCGGCCCCTATAGTTGTCGTGACAGTGCAGCAGCCCAACCCTGGATGATAGTCATGAGAAGTATATCGGACAGATAACACGGGGAAACGGTGTAGGCATGAAGCGCGCGGGCGGGATAGCTTCAGGTTTGGCACCTTATAACTACGACCCGGGTGCCGCAGGGAAAGGATTTACAGGGATACGCGCAGAGGAAGAGTTGACATTATACCCTCTTCATGTTCACGATAATCAATGATCGTCGTGATGGTCGTTCATGTTCAAGCTGTCTCTCGCGCGTCATCGGACTGACGGTCAACGAGTGATTGCATCAACGCGTTTTCCCAGAGCCTAACTGAGGCATTATTCGTTCGCGCGCCTCGTAGGTAACCCTTACAAATTGTACTGATGTAGGCCGTCGGTGTAGGTACATAGCGTAGTACGTAGTGAAAACCATATGGACATCATTCTATGAGCCTTTATAACCTGCCAGCCTCCTTGGGTCTCCCACGCCTCGTGGCACTAGAAGATGCGGCGACAATCACCCCACCCCCAGCCCTCAGCGCTCAGCGGCCAAGACGTCCTCATGCACGACCAGCTGAAAGTGGTGTTCGTCGAGCGAGGAGGTACGTACTGCCCTGTACTGCCGTTAGCCATCTTGTGGGTCACACGGCCTGTTTCGCCAGGTCCAAGCAACGCGAGCTCTACATTGTCGCCGGCGAGCATATTATCGGTGTTGCCTTCTGGTCGCACCTTTCGTCCTGCCGGCGTTACGAGGGGACCTTGAGGCGCGTATTGACGATGAACCCGCCTTCGAGGTGTCGTAGCCCGACAATGCAGCCCTTGCTCTGTTTGCACATCCGGACTACACTCCCATATCGTCGTATTGCGTTCGTGTTGGGTAAGCCGTAGACCGGTGGGTGCCAATGTATCCCTCGGAGGCCATGATGTTCGTATCGAGAGGCGCTGAAGTGGCAGTAAGTTCCGTATCGTCCGTAGGGGCGGAACTTGGTGTGAGGTCCGATCGTAAGTTGAGCATAAGTCGTGAAATCAGGACGACGGAGATGATGTTGGTCATTGACGAGAATGTGGTCTTGAGCAGAGGCTGCAAAAGTAGCGGCGTCAATCCTATTTGCCCACACGGGTAGCGGATAGCCACGCACCGTCGCTACCTGTTATGCATGCAGTCAGTTCAACTAGTCCGATTGAGGTTAGAAAGGCGAGGGTGCATACCAGAAGGACCACAATGTTGATGATATTGGCACCCGACAAGGCACTAGGTGAAGATCAGATAACGTTTGCGCACACCGTGGTAGATTGCACCGACCAGAAGTATATGACACCATCCCTAAGGACCACTTGAACGATGCGCCCGGCTTTCCACACCCGGAAAGCGCGCAACGCGGTCAAAAGGAAGATGACGAGGTCAAAGAGCAGCACGGCTCCCCACATCACGGCGTAGCCTGCGAATATGGCTTGGTTAGGTGATAGTCCAACCCGGTCTCACCCGATAGCTACGTACCTACGCCATCCCTTCCTGTGCGTGCGACCGTGCACAGAGGAGCGCTTGGCCAGTAGTATACTGGCGCAATGTCGTTCAGCCTCGTTACCATGTACTGCGAGTCAATCAGAGGTGTTCCCGGTAACATCGTTATACTCGGGGTGACGGAAAGTGATCGAACACCGCGCGTCGAAGATCGCCGTCGTGCAGCTCTTTCGTTACGAGCATACTCCAAATCGAGATTGACACGCAAAGAGGGCTCTGGTGGCCCCCATAGAGGCTGCACGGAGTAAGGTACGGTATCATCGTACCGTGGAAATTCGGCCCGGTTTCCGGTGGACCGTTCGATCATTTCCCGTCACCCCGAGTATGAGCTCACCACGGTGATGCCTGTGAGTACAACGCCCAGGATAAGGAGTCCTATGAGGATCCTCCGGTCTCTTGAGTAGAGCGCATAGACCCGCATACTGCACAGTACTGTTGTAATCATCAATGCGGCTGTTTCTCTAGTACAGGCGAAGACCCACCTCCGATGGGTATCTGAAGGAACAACTCCAACACCGCATGAAAGTACTGGACCGGTCCACAGCTACGACCGACATCAACAACTATCCGCTCCGTTCGGCACGCACACGAACCCAACTCACCCCTGTGACCAGGCCAATCAGCGATACTAATATAGGCACAATCAGCTTATTGATCCACGTACCGCAGATGCCGTACCCCACACCATCGTGACCAGGATTGGTACAAACGAGAGCAGAGTGAAGTACCGCGTTCCCAAGAAGAGGCCTGAGAGCCAGGTCAGAGGTCGACGCGGTGGCCAGTAGTTCTCGATTTCGTCGCCGAGCGTGAGGAGGTAGTCGTAGTAGAGAAGTACGAGTGGCGCGGCTTGAAAGGCGTAATTGATGAACCTAGGTTGACCGTGTGAGAGCACTGCTAGCAACATCCTATAGCAGCCGTATGTTGCAAAGAAGCGAACGTACAGTTTGTGCGTAACGAATCTCCAGTCCGTCTCCCCTGCATCCATCTCTATGAATCCCAGGCTTCACACCGCTCAAACCGGCAGTTGTCAAATAATCCCAACAGCGAGTCAGACTTTATACGGTGGACGCAGCTGGGCGCCCAAGGAAGCTGGGGCAGTCAAATGCGTTTGAGCTGCCCCGGGGAGTACCCGGTGAGGGTGAGAGCTGGGGAGAAGTTTGAACTCGAACATGAGCCCGGCGCTTTCGCATTCACCGAGTCCGGAGCGAGCACGCCGGGTAAAACCCTACACTTGATGCTTGTATCCCTGCCGTTACCCTGTGCGTAGCGTGAGATCAACGCTTCAATACGGTTAATTGAAAGAGGACAAAGGCAAATACCGCGCTTCGCTCTCATTGGTCGACGCACTTTGAACTTGACATGGAAGCCAGGGCCTCATGATACCGTTGCGGCACCCATCTATCAGAGCATTCTAACTTAAGCGTTCTTTTGAGCAGAAGGTCGCCGCTGCTTCTAGTCTGGACCGTCATTGCGGAAGTACAACTGCCGACGTGAAAAGACGAGGCAGGCGAGGACTTTGACGCTCTCGTGGGGTGTCGCGCGTTTCGCGGCTCCGGTGCCATGCACGGGCACAGTGAAGGTGACCGCAGATGTCGGAAGTTGTGCACAAGAAAGCGATGTATATTGTCCACGAGGCCAGCTCAAGCGCTCATCGTCGTTTGGGATCAAGCTTCCTCAGTCCGATTCGCGCAACTCAAAGTCGAAACGCGGCGGGTCGCGGTGCGCACGGCGGGCATCGGCCGCAAGCACCAGCGTCTACCCTCGCAATATACAACTCACGTTGAATACTTGACCTTGATGAGCCACTCAGAAATACCCCTTGTGCATATGTTTTTTCGGTAGACGATGTCGAGACGGTCACGGGGTAGCATGACAAAGCTCTCATGACAGAGCATGACGCGTGACGTCACCGCGACGCGAACTTTCAACTTCGAACCGAGACGCGTCGACGCGTCGCGAGCCTCACAAGCTAAGTAGTCCGAATGAGCGAACCACGGGTCAGTCCGCGCATACCGTTTTTCAGTATAGCATGTGCACAGGTATAGTGCTCATGATTGAAAGCGACTCCTGACACGAAGGACAGAGAATGTAAGAGCTGTCAATGAGATCCACAACATGGTATTCGATAGTAGTAGTATGAACATGAAGTAGCACAATATAGATCATACACACAAGTCCCGTACAAGCAACAGCAGCGTTACAATCAAGCAGCACATACAACTTCGCCCAACCTAGACCCCACCAACCCAACTCAAACTCCACATCCCGACCTCCCCCTCCCCACTCTCCTTAACCCTAGCCCCAAGCCTAACAAGCACAGCCCCCGCATCCCGAATAGCCAACCGTTCCCTCGCACTGACCGGCCTCACAACCCTCGTATCCAGCCCCGTGAACGCCGGCGTATACGGCACGCACGCCCTCCGTGCGCCCAAAGCCAAAAATACAGTCGGAGGGACCGGGCGGGGGGTGGGGAAGTCTTCGTCCGTTTCGGAGTCGGATGAGAAAGAGAGCTGGTTGGGGTTGTGGGTGGAGGATAGAGGAGGGATCCAGAACTGGATCGGCGGGAGAGGATCGAGAACGCCGAATGCGGCTTCGCCCGCGGCGTCTTGTGTCGTTGTACCAGCGTCGCTCTCGAGCGGTATGAGCGGTCCTTCGGTCGCTTCGCTCGGTGGTGGTTGGGGCACAATAGCACCAAACTGACGTATGGGAGGTGGAGAGGGCGACGGGGCACCGCCGCGTAGACGTTGGGCTTTACCGGACTTCTTACCGCCTTTCGTGGTCGCGTTCTTGTTGCTGGCTTTGGGTGGTGGAGGGGGAGGGCTGGGTTGTCGAGGTGGTGGTGACGGGCCGCGCGATTGCGGAGGTGTAGTCAACCCGTCTGAGTCCCTTCTCCCTCGTCTTCTCCTCCCAGTCCCTCCCGCACCCGCAGCCCCGCCACCTTCGATGGGAGAAGCAACTTCACTCTGCCCAGGCGTCGTCAACCTCCCCGTCTCGAGACTGATTCTCGACGACACCGCTATATCCTCAAGCGGATCATGTTCGGGCGAAGGCGAAAGCGGCTTCTTCGATTTTGATGAACGACGGGGGAGGGAGGGCGGTTGAGTGCGGATGAGGATACTATGCGGGAGCGTCTCCGCGTCTGGCTCGCGTTCTCGACGCCGCCTCTCCTTCTCCTTGTCTTTATCTCTACTCTCGCGCTCCTTATCCTTCCGCTTCCCGTCCTTCCCCTTGTCTGATCTCCTCGACCTCCGCGAGACCGTGCTCCCAGCCACACTCCTCCCCTTATAAAAATCCGCATAGCTCCCATAAACCTCCTCAGGCGTCGGCTTTGGCCCATTGAACTGCCCCGCATAAGCCGGATGAGGACGTATAGGCCTATCATCCCTCGCCCGCCTCGGATCCCTCTCATAAAAGTCCGCATAAGACTCGAACTGCGGTTCAGCGCGAGTGGGAACAGCCGGTGATGAGGTCGTGGGCACGAAATTGGGCTTTGGAGGAGCGGCGATGGTGGATGTGCCGGATTCTTGGGATTCTTGGGAGGTCGTTTGGGCTGTTGATTGGGGCGGCGGGTGAGGTTTGAGAGGTGTTTTGGGCGGGAGAGGCGTGGACTTCGGGATGGGCGCGGGTGCGGGAGGTGCAGCCGGCGGCTTGGATTTAGAGTTTGAGTCGGCGCGTTTGATCTGTGGGCGGGAAGAGCTGTCTGCGCGCTTGAGCTCGGGCGCGGGGCCGTTTGGGCGCTTGGTCTCTTCGCGTTTACCGGTCTCGTCGCGTTTGCCAGGCTCATCGCGTTTGCTACTTGAACGCTTCAAGTCAGGCGCAATAGCCTTCTCCTTCTCCTTTTCACGCGTCTCTACCTTCTCATCGCGTTTGCTGGAATCTTGACGTTTGGGCTCGGGCGCTACATCACGTTTGTCGGGAGCTGCGAGCTTCGGTATCTTGGAGACTGTCGCAGGGAGCGCCGGTTTGGATACCTCAGGTTTGGTCGTGATCGGCGCGGCAGGACGCGCCGGTTTGGCTGGTTCGAGTTTGGGTGTCGGTGCGGCTGCAACGACGGGTGCAGCTGCGACAGGCTCGACCACCGGCGCGCGCTTCATCGTGACTTGCGTCTCCATGCCCGACGACTCTGTCACGGTACCCTCGACCGGTGTGGGCGTCGGCTGGCCGGTCCTCTCGTGTCCGCCATAGTCGGCCACGCTGGCGCTCTCGCTCGGGCGTATGCTCTCTTCGTCCTTCCCTCTCCCATTCCCATCATCGTGCTCCATCTGCGCTGCGACAGGTACCATAGCCCACTCTTCACCGTCTTCCTTGGCCATATGCCTCAACATCTCATCCAAAATACTCGCGGCCTGGCGAAACACCGTGTCGGCCCTCCCATCCTTCACCCACCGCCCAAACGTTTCCTGCGCCCACGCCCTCTCCCTCTCCAGTTCTTCGCGTTCCTCCGCCATCTCCCTCGTGCTCTCCAACCTAGCAGCCAGCGCCTCCAACTTCCTCCCCCTCTCCTCATCCTCAGCCTTTTGAAACGTATCCGCCCTTTTCCTCCTCTTCATCCCGAACCCCGCCTCGCTGACACTCGCGTCTTCAAAGTCGGACATCTCCGGCTCGTCTCCTAGGGTTGTAGTCAAGGAGGGCGAGGAGGGCCGGGAGGAGGGTAGGGCGAATACGCCTTCCGCTACGAGTGTACGGCCGGAGGACGAGAGCTTGATGTATTCTTCCATTGCCCAGTCGCGGATTGCGCGGTCTGAGGAGTCGAGCAATAGAGCGAGGCGACGGGCGCGTTTTTCGGAGGGTGTAAACGTTGGGAGGAGGTGCAACGGGAGGTTGGACGGCAGTTCGTGTGGTTTGGTCGGGTTAGGGTTGAAGGGCGAGAATGAGGGCGAAGAGGGCGAGTGTGGGCTTGAGGCGTTTGGTGGGGAGGGTGCGGTCAGGTGGGTCAGGCGGTAGGCAGCTAGGAAGGCCGAGTGTGGGTCCAGTGGGAGCGCTGGCAGGACGTCGGTTCGGCCATGCTCTATGAATAGTGTACTATCCGCTGTAACTTTATAATGAGTATACGATACTTCCAAAGTGTATTCTGAAAGCATGTACCTCTGGGTGTCGTGGCCCTAAGTTGCCGCGCCACTCTCTCCAACTCGGCTTCACTCTCACTCGTGCTCTCCGCCCTCTCATCCTCCTCACTGCTACTCGTCACACTGCTGCTCCTACTCCTCCGCTCTCGTGACCGTGGTGGTATGACAGGCTTGGACGTCCGAGTCCTATACTCCGGCCGTACCCGAGGCGGCGACCGCGCTCGTGGTTTAGAGGTCTTGAGTTGACGCTTCAAGTTCAGGTTGCGGGTATAAGACGACAGGTCGAGTTCGGGCCCGTCCGAGAGTGATGAGAGTGTATCTTGCGACGAGCTACGGCGTTTCTTTTTCGTATGCTCTCTACTTCTGCTCCTGCTTTTGCTCTTTTGCCTTTCGCCGCTCCTGCTCCTCCGACTCTCCTCCCTTTCCTTCTCGGCCTTCCTTCCACCGCTCCTACTCTTAGGTTCCAGGTCATCCCACCCAATCTTAAACCCTCCCTCGTTGAACCTCTGCTTCGCCTTATCCAAATGCGCACTAATCTGCGCCGATATCCTCGTCGTGGATGGCGTGATAGACTTCGGGAGGACAATGGTGAACCCGTCCGATAAGTCCGAGTCGCGCAGCTCGGACACGGAGGGCGTTATTGAGCTTAGCGATAGTAGCGACATGGGGTATCGGGGTATAGATGATGCTGACGCGACAAGGGGGCTAGGGTGTGGTGGTAAATGGCATGAAGAGAGTTATAGTTTGGCATGATGGACGGGATCAACAAGGTTTGGGCACGAGGCGTGCGAAGGAGGGCGCGAGCAGTGGGGTTCTTCTCGACCGTCATGGTGCCACGAGTTTATCTATGACCTCCCTCGTTCAGACATTCTCAGACGCAAGCACATACGTCTACAAGACGAAGATAAGACTGGCCTGTGCACGGACACCAAGAATGAACCGGCCCTGGGGCTGCACAGGGTCCGATCTATTCCCGCAATGCGCTGAGATACAGGGGATGGGTCGAGAGTGAAATATAAGGCGTGAAGAGCTCAGAGAGAAAGAAGTGAGTTACAGGCTCATCGTCGACAATGAAGGAAGGGGCAGTACCGCGGAGATAGCGAAGGACAGTGCGATAGGCGTCGATGCGATCAAACGCACGGTATGGTGAACCGCAGTGAATACGCGCCCGTTACCGAATGAGCAGTGTATTAACCGTGACTGTAGCCTCAGAGATCCAATCACCGCTAGTTGCCTACTCCGATAGATTATCCCACGTCAAACGGGTTACTGAGGCAATATTGCATTTTGAGTGTACAGTTACCGAACAGGAGAGACGATGTACATCGATACACGACAGCTACTTCCGTTTATAAACATCGAACTGGACGTGCGGCTCAATGTCCTTGAACCTTTCCAAGTGAGGCGCCTCCTTGTCCAACTCATACTCTTCGTCGATGTCTTTGATCCCATTGACAGAGACAAACCGCAAGACCCCGCCTCCATACTTCGCGCGTCTCTCGACAACGTTGACGAAAGTGTCGAATTCCTCCGACGGCATTGGGCACCGCAAATGCAGAGCTTGCACGTGTGGGTAATAGTGGCATCCCCGCTCGCTCGAAGCGTCGAGCAAGCGCTCGACGTCCGCACAGCCGATGTACTCGAGCCGCAGCTCAGCGACGGCGGGGAGCAGGGTGTGAAGGGCATCGCCATCCACATCGTCCGGAACGAGGGGGAAGTAATCATGTAGTCCAAGATACAGTGTGTCGATGCTGTGGGCGCGCAGCTTCAGAACGTCGCAGAGACACCGTAGGAATTCGACCAGGTCTGCGGGGAGCTCCAATCTCCTGTCGATAAGGAACGTGAAGGTAGGACGTCCGAGCCGAGGGTCCCACGATGGCTCGGTTGAGCGGCGGGGCCTGGATGCGAGCTCCGGTGTAGCCGGTTGACCTTCTTCTGTAGCGCCGAGGTGTACCTCGAGATCTTTGCCGTCTTGGAAGACTGCAAGCTTGGATATCTTCGACGCCCCTCCTATCTGCGTGTGCGCGATGAATGCGCACAGCAATCGCGTGTGCTCCAATAAGGTATCGGGGCCATCTTCAGAGTCCGGCGAGCTGAAGGCCGCCACATCCAGGTACAGTGTCGCAGACGGAGGAATGAATATGATCTTCCAGAATTCGAGGATGGTCTGCAAGTCGTGCCTCAAGTTGAGGTGAGTGAGCCGTGGAAAAGTGAGGCACCGTTCCTCCGCCTGTAGTTCTCGCAAGTCTTCGTGGAGCGGCAGCCAGCACTGCATTGTCAGTTCTTCGAGATTACCACAACGGGAAAGCATGTCGAAAAAAGTGTGTGCATCTGCTATCGCCGGTATCGTCTCCGCACTTGACCAGTAGAGCCTCAGGTGGGTCAGGACCGACAGGTCGACTGGGATGAACACGTTGTTGAGACTGAGTTTGCGCAACCGCGGGGCGATCAAGTTCGGAAAGTCCGAAGACAGCAGGGGGTGGTCGGGCGGGGATTCAGGACTGGGGTCGATACCGAGGGTAAGCTCTTCGAGAAGGGGGCACGGTCCTCGCCGGAGAATGCCGACGATAGCATTCACCGTGGCGTCTGTCGGCATCGCTAGGAGGGCCTGCAGCTCAATAGAGCGCGCTCTCAACAGCACTCCCAGAGCCAACCTTATCTGTTCCTCCGATCGCATGTACGACATCCGAATCGTGATCGGGGACGGCCCCGCCCGTCTCAAAAGCTCTTGAGAAGCTTGAGCATTATACCACTGGAAAACGACGGGCGCCCACAGCGCATGCATGCCTAAGAGCACCGATCGAAGGTCGTGGCAGACGTGTCCGTGACGGAACCATTTGTTGAGACGCTTACGGTCTTCCCAGATCGCCTCGAGTAGGATGATGCGAAGGAGTTCTGGTGGAAGACGGACGAGGGGCGAGCGATTGCGATTAACAGCAAGGAAGTAGAGAGGTAGAACGTCGCGGGTGAAGAAATCCGCATCGCTGACGACCTCTTGACTTGGTATAAGTCCACGTCTCTCGAGCTCGCGTCTCTGCCTGGTACGCTGGGCCAAGGCATTGAACTGTTGAATGAGCGCGCGGTCCATGGAGGCGCGACTACAAAGACGAGCGCGTCAGCACACTCAGTGACAGAGCTATGTGATCACGCACAAAACTTCACGATACGGTACAGATATGCCAATTCAATGGGCACAGAGTGGTCGATCGAATGGCAAGGGCTGGTGGCTTGCAGTGGCCTGTATGAAGCACGGCGTCGAGGGGCGAACAGCTAGGCGAGAGAAATTGCACAAAGGCCGGTGTCGGTATCGTCGCAAGTCGCTATGGTTGAGATGGGTAAAACATTATATAATGCGAGATCGCCTGTACGTATCATGGTGGTTGGCAATCAAACCACCCAACCACAATGCACGCGGTTTAGGCGCGCCTCGGGCCGGACCGAGCCCTTTTTAAGCTTGCTTTGTGCCCTTATGGAGCAGCCCCCCTTCTCAAGTGCTCAAAGTCGTTACTGTACTTTCAATCTACAGTCCTTTGTCCCAGTGGCATGGCGACTGATGTCCTTGATTCTGCAAGAATGGCATCATGCATAGTATCCGCTCTACCTATGTAACGTCGGCACTGCCAAGGATTCCCTGACGTAACGAACCTAAGTGAGTAAGAAAGGGTTGAGGTGGTAGGGCAAACCGGCCTCAAAAATTCACACACGGTCTCTCACGCTTTCTCATTGGATAGCTTGCTCTCCCCCAACCTGAACTCGGACTTTACGGACTTTACAGCTGTCCCACACACCGCCTTAGAACGGATCTCAGTACGCGGTATGTACTCGTCATGACCATAAGTCATGGCACACCCGCACTCGCGGTAGCCAGTACAGACATTCACTCGATCAAAATATTACTGGAGGTTCCTGAAAGTATTCGATACCTGATCTCCATCTGGGGACCCTGGAGAGCACTACGTATCGGGATATTCCCAAAGTGGCACAACCCATTGGGTTTGCCATTGAAAACCCAAAGTCTCGCTTCCATAGACGTCTCGCACGAGTAAGACTACCTCAAGTCCTACATGAGGTACTGATTCGTGTTGTCCCTAGCTGGCTGCTTGTACTTGTAAGTGGGGAAAGCTACAGAGGCGAGAAAACCACAAGGGTCTGTCAGGCGAGCCGTGGGAACATGTTGGAGGACGCCAGTACCTGGGCCCTCAGTGTACGTCAATAGCGCTTGGATGCTCGGGGATGTATATACGAGCTATTGTCTATAGTCTGATGCTTCACAAATATTTTTGAATCAGCGATACCGATGAAATTCGCCAGACGAGGGTGTGCCATGACTTATGGTCATGACGAGTACAGCCAGCTTCTCAAAGGCACGCGCAAGTACACGCGCAACGCGCAACGAACAGCGCGACGACGCACCTCGAAAGTGCGGTCCAGCGACTGACGCGTCAGCAGGTTCGATCCTGACGGTGGCCTTCACCTAATGTTACCACCATAGCCCTCCAGCTCCGGGGTAGTCAACTTAATCACTTCAATTTCAGTCTCTCTATCGATCCAATCAACTTTGTCCAATACTCTGGGTTTCGAGCTTCGTGGCCAGATTTGCAGGATAGAGGCTGAGACGTCGACAGACGTCGACGCGGCCGCGCCGCGCGCGCGCCTAGCGGACTTGCTCTCGACCACGATCACGACCTCCCGGCTGCACCCCCCTCAGTTCCTCCATTCGCCACTCTTTGCATCCTCTGTGGGTATCTCTCAGCACTGTCCTCAAGTGCGTGGTAGATCCGGTAAATTATCACCAAATTCGTACCTAGACGGCGAGCCAAAGGAGTTTCCAGCACTCAGCATCCGTCTGCGAGAGCTTCGAGGGAAAAATCAGCCGCGAACCTCGTACAACATATGTGCCTGCATCTACAGAAGGGTGAATAGGGCTTGTACCGTGACGAGAGGGCTGTTCTGTGTGTCATATTCTTGGGATCCTCGAATATTGTATCACTAATCACCTATTCAGGACCCCATTTGACGAGTGTAGGCATAATAATTGGCATCCATTCACCGATCAACTCCAAATTTCATGATTACGCTCGCAGTATGCGCGAATCCGTTCCATGTACTTACATCCTTCGGGCTCACAATATCATGTTGATGATCGTTCACTTTTCCCTCATCCGTGGACACCCGCCTTGACTTCTAGACACTGTGTCTGCGCCACACCGTCTCTTGCGCACCTCGATACCCGACGATGGTAGTCAAGCCTGTCGTCGATCCGCACCTCAAGGACTGTTCGCTCTCATAGCATCTTGCGACACCTGTGTCTGGAGCCGCCTTATATTTCGGTTCAAGGGAGAGTGATGGCCCTTCTTTCGTGCTCACAGATCGAGTGTTGATTGCTGATTATTCTCGGTACACATAGGCACATCCGGGTACTCAGCTTCTGCTCGTNTGTATTGGTGAACAACTGGAACGTGCACGATACGGCAAAGACAGTGCACCAAACATTGTTCATGGTTGAGGAGGGTGCACACTGGGAGGATGTTCACGCCCATTATGTGGTGACGACGGTGAAGGTGCCTACAACGAACTTTCTCACTCGCTGTAGTCGAATGCGCCCGGTGCGCACCGGGACCGACTCGGTCCTTGACGCCGTTGTGGCTCTCAATATGTGTAACTCGTTGTTGTCGCACAAGTACTCGCAGAGCCGGCTGCGTCTTCTCGTTGTCGTGTGCGTCCTCTAGCAGCTCCCTCCAATCATCGAGCATTGGAATAAGGGCGTCATCATAGCTATGCCGGATGAAGAACTCGACATCGTTCACCTCCCTAACGAAGGCTCGCGGTATAACATTTGGTTTCTGCACGGGGTGTGCTACGATGAACTGAAGAATGTCCGAAGGTCGCTGCGAAGATCGAGGCCTTGGGCTCGTCGCCGAGAATGGAGGCTGCATCTGTAACGTGCACAGCAAGAGCACGTTCGGCGAGTGGGTACTTACTCTCGCGTGAGAGGCGCCTATGTCCCAAAGCTTGGACTACATATGTTCACTCCCCACTCTGTCAACACATCGCACAATACTGACTGGAGGCGCTATGCAGTTTTCTATGCCCACCCTTGTCGTGCGCTCGTACTGGAGCACGAGCACGCGAAGAAACTTCGAGG